AAACGTCTGTCAAAGGTTGGGGCGGGGGGGGGAGGGGGAGGAAATAATCCTACCAGCAATGCTTTCTAGCATTTTTACCCAGAAAAAGGGCAGGGCAGGGTGTGCGTGCCAGGGCTTATGCAAACCCTTGCTGTCCTCCCCAGCTCCCGTTGTCCTGCTGGAAGCATCCCTGAAACCCCTTCCCACCCTCCCTCTCTTCATCGATGCAGGGACGCTCTTGTGAGGATACAGCGACCTGGGTTTGGGGCTGCTCGGGGCATCGGCACATGCAAAGGGCAAAGCTGAGGGGGCAAAAGCATCACAGGGACCATGTAGCGATGCCAGGGCCAGATCCTGCGCAGGTCTGAAGGGTGCTGGGACTTCTCCAGAGCCCCACAGCAATTTTTATCCATCAATTTTTGGACCTCGCATCCTGGTTTAAGCTGTGCCGAGGTACCCGCCTCCACATGCCCCATTACAGGTTTCTATTAGGCTGGGCATAAAGCAGCCGCCACGGTCAGAGAAAAGGAAGCAATAAAGCTCAGTGGATTGGAGGAATTAAAACAGCTGGAGGAAAAAAATAATATAGCTTTTCTGTGTTTTTATGACTTTTTTTTATTGCTAATTTTCTTCCTGCTTTGCAGCCTGAATCGCAGGGAGAGGGATTGGGTTGAAGGTGGGGTTTGGGCAGCCGCTGGTGGGGAAAGAGACAGGCGTTTGGGCAGTGCAGGGCCCCTCCACCTCCTCCCTCCCAGCTACTTAATAAGCAGAACTGAGGTTTAACGACCTGTTATTTTTAAAGCCAGATGGCTTAAAGCACAGGAAGATATTAGGACCACGAGGGCTGGGTTTGAATTCATCCAAAGGCTCCATTTATCCATACAAAGGGCTGGAGGAGGAGAGCAGCTGCTTTTTATTTCTTTTTTTTTTTTTCCTGGAGTCGAAAGGTAGGAGCTGGGGGTGCCTGGGGTCTCCAACATAATGCAGCCGTAATAGGAGAGAATTTGCTAAATGGGTTTGGGATTGAGCAATCAGATGGAAGCTGGTGCATCCAGGCTGCTCCGGCCAGTGATGCTCCTGTGCCACCCCAAAATAGCCAGGGACCAGGGATGCATGCACCCATAGAAGGGCTCCTCCACGGCCACAACACAAGAAATTTTTGGTCCAACCAGGCTATGGATAGAACCCACCGCTCCCAGCAATGCGTACATGGACAGAGAGGTTAAAATCGGGGATTTATGCCACTTTTTCAGTGTTAGGAGGCAGGGCGCTGGCAGAGCCATGCAGCAGGCAGGGTGCTGGCCTGGCATCACTGGCCGCTCTCATGGGGTCTTACCTGGCAAGAAAATGGGTGCATGGGGGCTGCCCACAGCTCTTCGCCCCTCTCGAGTGTGCCGGTGGCGGCAGGGTCCGGGCTGGGGAGAGCATGGCTGCCCGATGGGGGTGGGAACGCCGCCAGTCTCTGGGAAGGGAGAGGCAATGGTTTTTTGGATGGATGGACACAGTGAATGGAGCAGGGAGAGGGCACCCGGACTGGGCTGCCCCCGCTGCGCGTCCCCTTGCCCCACCATCCACCTCCCTGCTATTGCCATCAGGAGTGGCG